TTTAAACTTATGTTTCACATATATTAAATCTAATCTCAAAGCTTTTCTATGACTAGTGAAATATATACAGACGTCATTTGCTAAGTACAACAAGAACAATATAATCAACAACTGCACAGCTCAACTAATTTTAAACGTAAGTCTTAATTTAACAAGTTAATTAATGAATTGGTCAAACTAATGCGATATTTGCAGCAGGCATTTCAAATAATTTGCCTTGGCGCCTGGCGCATTCATGTACTTGGAGTTCCAGTCGTGTTCGTTAATGTGCAGCACCTTATAGCCCATCATTTCCAGATGCTTGATCTTTAAAGATTCCGGGCCGCGCAGTGCGGTCAAATCGTTCTCGCAGAAGGAGTCCAGTTTGAGCAGAAGTATGGCCACTCTGGTAAGGATATAGAAAATGTACATATGTCTTATTTAGATATAGCTATTATAAATAGTATTTAAAGTTTTTACTTAGTTATGCGATCCAACATCGTGGCCTCAACGGCTGGCGCGGGCATGGGTCGTTTGTCCTTATCGAAGTGTATCACAAAGTCTATTTGATAGCCATAGGGCGTTGTGTGATTGCAGCGAAAATAGTTCTCATCCTTGAACAGATCGCGCAGCAGCTGCTTCACATCCGTATTAAAAGCGCTGGGTACAACGTGTTCTAAAATAAATTATATTCTAGTTTATTCCCATTGAGCTCAAATATAGTATATACATACTCTTGCTTAGCTGTGCCTCCACGTAGTTCTGCTGGAACCATGGCACATTTGTTTCGGGCATATCCAGGCAAACGGTGCGGTTCAATTGCATCACGCGATTCAGCACCATGCCAGGATATGTGGCCTTTGAGTAACAGATCTGGATCTCGTCCTCAATGCGCTGAATAAACTTGACGCAGAACACCTGGTTGATCAGCTGCTCGGGTATTGCCTTGTAGAAGCAGAGCGCAAGGCACGATTGCACCAAGGATAAGCCGCTCATGTGATCAAAGTCGCTGTGGGTGAGAGAAGATAGAGCTCATTTAATAGTACGACTAAGAGAATTATCCTCAGTGAGCTATTAAAGAGATCACAGCTGGTACTATGAATACGTCAATATACTGACTGTGCTACAATCTTCCCATCTTAAACATCAACTTTTCTACCCACCGTATTAGGACCAAAGCAGCATAGTCCAATGCCTCCAGGGAAGCAGGTGTGTAGCCCAGATTGTAGGCGCAGGTGAGCACCTTCTCGACTGTGTCGCCCGTTATGTGCTCGTGCTGTTGGGCCACATAGTCGAACATGGACTCCAGCAGTTCCGGCACATAGTAGTGCGAGGCATTGAAATTGTAGGCCATCTCGCGCACGACACGCGAATTGAGATCGTTGCACTGCAGAGTCTTATAGTGGGCTAGCGCTTGGTTGTACACCTGGCTGTTCTTCAGAGCTGTCGAAGATGATGATGGGAATGAGGATTAGCCACAGGATAAATTATTGGCAGACTGACTGATTAACTTACTCTTGCGATGGCTCAGCGTGCGCACAATGATGCTCAGATCGCTGGCATTGAGGGGCTGCTCTTCGCTGTTGCTCAGGTGTCGCTCGGCACAGGCAATCAGGATGCTGTCCATGGTGGCCAGCTGCATGGCCAGCGCATGTGGTATATGCTGGCGGAAGCGCAGCTCGCAAGCGATCTGCATGCCACGGCTGAGCAGGAAACAATCCTGGATAGTGAACTGTGGTGCCATACTCAAGATCTTGCTGAGCAGAATATTGGGAAACTTCTTCCAATCAAATGGTGTATGGCCATAGCCCAGCACGAAGGCAGCCAAACGGGCGAATTTCGTAGGCAATCTACCGGCCAGATCCTGTTCGATGGAATCCATGCAGAGGTGACTTAGCTTACGTTCCACTTTCTGATGACGATAAGTTCCGCCGAGGTTGTTGTTGAAGTTCATGTAGCGCTGGCAATGTCGCAGAAAACTCAGCTGTGACCGCTCCTGGGCGCAGGATGGCAGCTGGTCGGCCACTGCGGACCAATAGGCATCGCAGTAGCGCACATCCGCGACCTTTAGAGAGCGCAGCACGCTGAAGAAATGTCCGCTGGCGTTGGGCAGCTGCCAGGCGGATTCGGTGTGAAGTAGTTGATGGAATTGCTGCATGTAGGCGTCGCGCTGCTGCAGTGAAGAAAATGGCACGGCGCAGAATAATGCATCTGCCGTTGGCTCCTGTTGCAGCAGTGTAGCCGTTGCCTGCTTGAGCGGCGCTACGAGTGCTGCCGGCTCATGATGATGGAGAAAGGTGCGACAGACGATCTTCAGATCATTCGACTCCAGTGTGGGCACACAATCGCTCAGCGTCAGCATCAGTTGTCGTATCATGGCTGTGTTCAAATGTGACCAGGTGGGCTGATTGAACATGTGAAGTAATTTGAGTAGTGTCTTGGGCGTGGCACTGCTCAGTGTCCCAGACTGCAGCAGTTCAGTAACGCGTTGCTTGAATCTGGCTAACATTTCTGCATCGATAAGTGGATGCAACTGGAAGAAGCAGGTGGATAGGAGGCGTGCGTCTTGTTCGTCTTGACAGTTGGTCACATGCTGCTCCAGGTGTGGAACAAAATTTCGGCAGACAAGCGGCGTAAAGAAATCCCGTTCCAAATTGATAGCCACCAGCAAACGGGAGAGCGCGGGCAATGCCACCAGTTCCTTGTCCACAGCCAACTCGATCATTTCCAGAGCACGCATGAGTATACGCTCTAGTGTGGGCTCGCTGTTAGGCACGTGCATCTTGCGTAGGTACAGATAACAGCAGCTCAACTGATCCATGCTCATGGAGGCTACATGGAATGCAAAGGAGGGAAGCAACTGCTGCAGCTGGACAGTTAGCTCCGACTTCTCGCTGCCTGACAGCTGCTGATAGAGGGCCCACAGCATAGAGATGCACTGCACGCGATGTGGGAGTTCTAGCTGGCTTTGGGCAACCATATCCAATAGCTCCTGTGGACTGCGTGCTGCACTCAAAAATAAATTATGCTCATCCTCCAAGTTGCCGGCAGAAGAGGATATTTCGCAACCATCCAGATCATCTACCTGTTGCTCATGATCACTGCTAAACGTTGAGTGGCGCTGCATGCTGTAGGTATGGGTTGCAGCAAGTGGAAGCAATTGCTTCAGCTGCTTTGATGTTGTCCTCGACTGTGTTGATTCTCTGATAGGCGGCTTTGCGCCCATGTTTACATGCCGCCGTAACAGTTGCAGTTGTCGCATTTGCTGCATATATTGCAGGTATTTGCATGGCGAGCGCGGCAGGTAGTTTAAATACATTTGCAAATTTGTAATTTTTATACAGAAAAGTGTGTGTGTTAAATAATAAACAAA